GTCCTGTACACTTTGTTAATACAGTGTATTTAAAGGTAATAGGAGGTGCTAGATCATCAACCCCAAACAACTTGTACTAACCCAGGGTGTACATGCAATACAATATTTTTCTCAGTGTGCTTCAGCTCTAGTTCAGCAAGTAATCACGCTTAGTGATTCTCTCCTCAGGCAAGGCTTAACTGAGGCTGGCAGGAATGTAGAGATATATGATTCTGCACACAAAATCCTTCTAGTACAACACATCAGCACTTCTTCATGAGCTGTTCATGCGCATTTCAGTCTGGGAAACAAAACCACTCCATGTCTCATCCTCTCCACCAGTGATAACATGAATTATCATTTTTATTAAGATGATTGAGAGATTTTAAACCAGGGGAAGAGATTTGGTTATCTTAGTAAGATCCAGCCTTAAAATCATCTTTGATTTTTAAAGGGAACAAAGAAAACCCTATCAATTACAGAGACAATTGCGGCTTCACTAGAGCTGATGTGCCTTCAGGAAAAAAAAAAGAGGAAAAAAAAAAACCACAAACCCACAACCGTTTCAGTATGGAGAGAAGTCATTTTCATTTATATGTAGTGCTTCCCTTCTGTCTCATCTGGAATATAAGCAGGTAAAAGCCAGTGAAGAAGAGAGAAGCCACTCCTAATAAAGGGCTATATCGTGGATGAACTAAGCTCCCATGACACATCTGCACACCAAGACATTTCACTCTGACAGGATCTGACCCAACTGAAATGTCAACATTACTTACTGCCAAGTCAGAAAGGGATAAGAAGTGTCCCTTCGGAGACAGATTAATGAGAAGTAGAAAGCACAACATATGCCAAAAAAGTCAAGTTGTACTACACCTCCTTCAGTTACGTGGAGTTACTTTACAAGTTGGTCTGTTGAGATGCAGGAGCACTGGGTAAAATAATACAATGTGATGTTTAAGGGATTTTGCAGATTGATAATTTTTTGTCTAACACTGAATGGATAGTGTAGGCAATTTTTCACTAGTGGTCTCATTCTAAATTAAGTGTTGACTCAGCCATATGTGCCCCTTGCATTGTATTCATGACTGCAACAGCCAGCATGTTCCATTTGTGCCCTGTCTGGTTAGTTACACAACTCCCATCACTGGATAAAAGTAATGGTTTGTGCATATAACTCATATTTAGAGGATTAGATATAGAGTATTCATATTTATGCATGTATTGTTTACAATTTGCAGTTTCATGGAAAAAATACAACTTACCTCAAAAAAAAAAAGTTAGCATTCTGCTATTGCTGTTACATTTATGGGCTTTACATAAATTTCCAGATACTTCTATTCTGGCTGAAAAAAACATAGCATTTTTAATATACATAAATGTACAGTTTATCGAAAGAAGATATATTTGAATAAGAGTAGAAAAAGCTATAAGATGTTCCTTTGCCAAAAGTAATGTAAATATCTTTTGGCCCCAAAAAATTCAAAACCAAAGAATTTTTATCAATGTAGCGTCTCATTCTGTAGTTGTTAGTCACCTGAGCAATTCCCATAGTAGTAAGTCAGTCTGTAAAGTCTGGAGGACTAGACCCAGTGTCAAACTGAAAATAATACCATAAGATAAGTTTATCAATTGCATATTGTTTTAGGAGCTAGACTATGGGGAGTTATTCATTCCTTCTAATAAAAGCAATATTGCAATATATCTTGTCTTTACCAGAGGCTGGGTTAAATTAGATTAAGAGCATAAAAAAAGAGAAAGATTCATGATGGTGAGAAACAAGAGAGAAAATAGACAAGATTTGGAACAGCTAAGGAAGCCCTGAGAACATGCTAGATAAATGGGCTGTCTTGAAATAAAAAAAACAACACCTCAAGTACAAGTGGAGAGTATAATAGAGAGTACTTTCTATTTGAAGTCACTGCTAACCTGTTAAATTCCTATAAAGCAAAATAGGACCAAATATTAGTGCTCACACTGGGTGGCACCACAGGAATCTCGGAAATAGTCAATGTGTTAAGATGCCAGCTGGCTTCCATAGCTAAACAATACACAACAACAACAAAAATCTAGTCTACTCTTCTTTTCTTTGGACAGTCCCTTCCTGTTAAGAGGATCATTTAGAAGTTGTCCAAGTTTCAAAAGATCCGAAAGCACTCACTGTAGCCTCTTTTCTTTCCCATTGAACTTGACAGGAAGTTTATCACTAACTCCAGTTTCAGTACTACTTGACTTCAATTTGTAGACCACAAGCCTGATAGTGCATGGGGCAACCTCACACCCCAGGCTCATGTTCTCATCATGATAGCAACAAAGTTGATTCTTCCCTTTTATCTTTGCAAGATCTCCAAAATTACCAATGAACTATCCACCAGTACTTTCAGTTCAGGTGTCAATTCCCTGCAGTTGTGATTTAAACTAACTGGCACTACTGTGATACTTTCATCTTTCAAAGACAGAATTGGCAAAAACCTGAATAAACAAGGCTATGGAAAGCCAGCAGGAGTACACACTTGTTGGACACATTATCAACAGAGATAGTTAAAAAAACTGTACAAATGAGAAACACTATTAGAAATTTGTAAACTTTGAGGAAGTTTAGTTCTAGTGCAATGGTCATAAGATCAGCAGAATCTAGCCCGCAAACATATATCCCATACCCAAAAAGTCTTTGCGCTAAGAGCATTAAGTAGGACAGTTTTCCATACCCTTTTGATTTAATGCTACAGAATCAGTTTAATTTTCAGAAAATTCAGTTTTGTCTTTTGGCATAAAATGCTTTGTAAAAGCTCAGCACATTTCTTGGCCGTCTATCTTAATTGCTCATAAAGATTCTCAGCCAACAGTCAAGTGCTTCCAAAAAATTAACAAAAGCCCTACTACATGCTAATTCCCCAGGTTTTTTTATATTTCTAGTCAGTTCTTTCAATGTCAAGCATTAGCCAATGATAATATACATTGGCTTGAAGCCATCATCTTCTTTTTAAGCTTATTGTGACTGCAAGACACTGAGTGGTATATCCCAAAGGAAAAGAGCGGGGAAAACAGTGCTGAAAACTATCTGCTTGTACAAACTATCCATGTAAAAAGCACTTGCTCTTCCAAAAGCACATATTCACTTTACAGAACATTCAAAAGAGCAAAATTTTGTTAGCCTTAGTTTCTGTAGGAAAGAAATTATTTATCTGTTCGACTGGCATACAGCCAGATATGAAAATATATCCATGCCATATTTGAAAGCTGGTCTTGGTATATATGCATCTCCAATAATTTCTTGCATCAATTAAATTCTGGTTTACTTGGTACATAGTCTGATCCTGAGCAGCTAATGGGAGATTTCTTTTTAATTTGGGTGGGGGTGGGGTGGGGGTGGGGTGTTTCTTTGTTTTTTAATAAACTGTGGATCAAAGATAGGAAAATGGGTGCTTATCGCAACTTGTTTTCAAGGCCTAGGCCCAAATTTGGTTACCTTTACTGCATGCCCAAACTTTTGTCCACAAATAAACAGAGCCTTTTACTTAAGCAGGGATTCTATCTGCTGAAATCCTGAATCCTTTATCCCATCATTTCTAACATTTACCTCCCCTCCATTAGCAGTACGATCCCCCATGAATACATCTATGGACAATTAATTCACATATAATCATATGTCACCAGTTGATTCTCTAGAGGAAACTTATTGTTTACCTTTTGATACTCTCTCTTTAGCTTGTCTCAAAAGAATATTTGACTTGGGAATAAATTACTGGAGTTATTCTGACTTTTCATAGTTTGGGATATTCTTGCATTTTCCATTTCTCTCCCTTAAGCAGATGTATTATTGAACTTAAATAATACATCTAGAGAATTTTACTATTTTTTTTAAACACAGAGGAAAGCAGTTGTAGTTTTTGCCACATACAACATGAGTGCATTTCAACTGAAAAATCAAAATGGGATGGAAGTAAGAGTAGTAATGCTGCTGTGTAGAACTGCTTGCCTGGAACAAAAGCGCACCAGCCAGATAGAGCTCAGCTCAGTCTGCGGTCACCTGGTGAATCGCAGGGTGTACCTACTAATACTGACACACTGTTTTAAGGTGAGGTCTGCCTGCCCACACAGTTCCTTCCTTACACAGTATCAGACCAAACTAGGGAGGATGAAATGAGAATGACTGCACCAAACCTAACCTCTCCGCAAGGCATGTAGCCAGTTTAACACTAGGACAGCCTGGACTAAAGCACAGGTTTGGCACCATCCTTGGGTTACTGTTTAAACATATGGGGGAGCCCAAAGGGCAATAAATTAAGTTTATTTACTTTCAGGTTTTTAATGAGTAAATTTTAAGTGCTCATTGTGATGGTTTTCTATTTCAACAATTTATTAGATGTTAAGGCCAACAGGACCGCCATGTTGCCTGAGCTTCTGCCTACTAAAAAGCCATATCTTTGATGAAAATCCAGTGCCTCGCTGAGAATCCCACTCTGAATGAGTCTCTTCCCCTCTCTGCTCCAAATCAGTTTCTTGGGATGCTGACTCATCCCATAAACTAAAGCATGCCCTGTGCTACAAAAACATGCTCCTCTGTTTCATTCTTGGCCAAAACTTTCTCTGCAAAACCTTGGAGTCTTTTCACACCTAGTAACAAGACAATTCCTTTGTTTGCTCGGAGCACAAATTTTTGAGTTTTCACATTCCTCCTTGTGCACTGAAGTTCTTTCAGCATCAATCAATTCATGATACAAAGAATCTTTCCAGGAATAAGCAATCAAAATTACAATTATGCAACACACATAATTGACTCCAGCAGGATATTCCCCAATAACAGGGAAACAATTGCCGACTGGCTCCCCCAGATTCTGTTACTAACAGCTCCAGAAATCGGTCTAATAAATAGGTTGTCCATAAGAGCATGAATTTGTACAATGGATCTGTCTCAGGCTGTCTCTTAGGGCTTTGAAAGCCCTTAGTTTTGGCATCTGTATAACCACACATTGTAAGTGTCTCTTCACAACCGACACGTTCTTTCTTTCTCTGCTGTACAGAAGTACACTTGAACCAGAGCAGCCCAACCAGTGAATTCCCCAGCTATGGTGAAAACGGAAATGATACCAGTTTACTTGTTTCACCCCTTCTGGTGGCTGGAGTAGTGATCGGACTTGTGCTATTTCTATCCTGTGTTACAATCATTGTTGGCAGTCTGCGAAAGGACGGACGGTTAAGACACCCACATCTGAGGAGAGATGCTGTTTATGGTAAGATAGTTATAGCAAGATAATGCTTAACTTCATTAATATAGAATCATAGAATCATTAAGGTTGGAAAAGACCTCTAAGATCACTGAGTCCAACCGTCAACCCAACACCACCATGCCCACCAAACCATGTCCCTAAGTGCCACATCTACACGTCTTTTAAATACATCTAGGGATGTTAACTCAACCAACTTCCCTGGGCAGCCTGTTCCAATGTTTAACCACTCTTTCAGTAAAGAAATTTTTCCTCATGCCCGTCTTGTGCTACGGGCAGCAAAAAGCATCTGGCTGCTGTGCAAGTGATTAAAAAAAAAAAATAATTTAAAAATAGGATGAAAGGGTCACAGGCAGCTTTGTAGTTTAATGGCATCTTTGTGCTGGCACTGAATTCACATAGTACAAGCTCCATAGTTAATGGTTAACATAAATAAGGCCAATGCTGACAGCATTTCTTAAAGAGCTTATTTTCCCTTGATACAATATAAGATTTCTTCTCCATCGCTAGACTCCTGATAGTTTATTTTCATATCCCATTATAGGCTTGGTATAGCACATAATGGAATTTCTCTTTGTTGGAAAGCCAGGAATCTTTTCACTTCTGCAGTGTGCACCAACCTACAACAATGACTGGGCAATTACTTCTTTTCTGACCACAAAAGTTAATAAGTGGATATAAACAGAACAACAGGGCATCAAAATGTCATTACAACTGTCATCATCATTAATGATGTCATTAATGACATCAGTGTCATTACAACTGTCATCATCATTAAAGAGACTGGTTTGCTATCAAAAAAGTGCCAATTCCCATCCCCCTACGCCCTGACAAAAATCCCCCATACTTTAAAAGGATTTGGGAATATGAAGGAGTTAATTGTAGAATTATATTTTGTCCAATTTTGGGTTTGCTGACCAGAAGGTAAAAGCCACTTTGTCAAGGAAATGACAGAATCTGATTATTTCTATATTTAAGGAAAAAACAGTTACAAAAAGTTATTTTGTAAGTCTTCAGCTAGTAAAAATTCAAATTATAAATGGATTAATGAATTGAGTGGAGCATCAACAATTTTAGTCATCTGTGGTTAGGCTCCTATATCTGCAGTTTGCTATGAGAGTGCAGTTCTTTGCATATTGTTGAGGGTTTCTTCTTTATACAGAAAAGATAATAATAGTGAGCCACATGAAAATGCATTGACTCAAATCTTGATTTCACTGAGGTAAATCAAGTATCCACTGAAGTCAGTTGGACTTCATTTAACTATTTGGACTAGGAATTTTCATGTCTAAAAGAAACACACTTCGTAGGATCAGTTTGTCCACCTAGAGCCAGGAATAATTATTTTTGGCTTTCCCAGAAACATTTATCCAGATAACTGAATAACATCGATGTTTTGGGAATAAATTTTAGACTCCAAGTGAAATGCAAACTCCCATGGTAACGTACAGAGGAGAAAAAGGAAAAAAATAAAAATAAAAAAGAATAATGTCTACTATTATTGTAACATCTATTTTTCCCACTTTTCAGCAGCTAAATTTGGGATTAAATACTTAAACCCAAATTGGAGTTACAGTTTTACCCCTGAACAGCAATATTTTGGCATGATAAAATGCTGACCATTAAGACTAAATCACTACATTTAAATCTACAGCTATGTTAATTTCAGGTCCTTTAAAAACCCTGAAGCCAGGCAAAAACATAAGGACAATTTTCAAACTGCTGATTCGAAATAACAATGCTAGAGAAATGGAAAAAGAAAAGCATGGCGATATTTTCAGAGAAATTCAAAAGAATAATCTTAAACCAAATTGTGCCAGTCTACCCAAGTGAAAATTTTACATTAGCACACGCCATCCTAGTATCTCAGCATGCTTCCACTGGCCAGCATGGGAGCAGCAGGAGTCACTGTGAAGTTGGCTTCCTTCACTTATCAAGCAAAAGGAAAGCACAGTGCATGATAGACTGGATTAGTCCTGGTAAATTCCTTGAGAATAAATTGGCAGAGGTGAAAATTGCCAGAAGGAGGAACAGGCAGTTCAAGTGAGTCCTGCGCTTTACCCTCTGTTGAGAGAGACACTACTTTGATGTCACTTTAGAAGCTGGCCCTTCTCTCCAGGTACTATTTTAATGCATCGAGTGAAAAGGAGGGATCACTTTATTTGGAAGACAATTGCAGCTGCTGGGGGGGGGTTGGGGGGTGGAATGGAATTGCTGCATTTCCACAATTTGGGACATTCTTATGGAAATTTACCCCGGAATGTTGAGCATTAACTATCCTCAAAGACAGAAAATAGCACTAACTCCTTGGTATTTCTGGAGCTATGAAACTCTCATGTGAAAGCATTAAGAAAGGCCTGGAGCAGGCAGCAAGACGATTTCTCTACTATTTTCCCCTTTTTGTGAGTGCTTTATTGAGAACAGCATTTTCTCAAGACACATACCTACAAACACCTAAGCCTCATTTTAAAAGCCTTCACAGAATTGGCAAGGTTTCAATGTATCGACTCCTGGGAACTTCAGCAATCCTGCTAATGTTTGAAGCTGCATGAAGCAGAACTGCCACTCCTTTTCAACCTTTGAGGCACAAGAAAGGCTTTAGACACTTGCATCTTGTAGGGCAGCACAAATTATATAGACCCTGTGCCATAGGTGTCTGAAACACCACAGTTCATCTACAGATGACGCTAACTTGCTCTTAAAGGAATAGAAATGTCCTGTGAAACCTGATTGTTCCAAAATACCAGTAATTCCTCTGCCTCAGATAGGTTTTATTTTCTGATTTATGGTAGTGTTATAAACAGTGATACTGTCTCAGAGAATCCACCATGGAGGAAAAGAGCAGCAAGTATTAATTGCCTGTTTTCCAGCTCCAGATGGCTTCTCTTATGGTGGCTCTTTTGGAGAGCTGAGATCCACCTGCATGGAGGAGTTTCCCCCAGCTTTTAATTTTGGTTCCTATCTGGATACACTTTCTCAGGTCAACGTCATGTATCCCGATTCACCTCCACGGTAAGCACTTTTCTAAGATTCTGAGTGTTATAGTTCTGCACTTGCAAAGCCTGTTAAAGAAGAAAATAAAACTGTTAGACCTACACCCACTACAAAAACACAGGTCACACAAACTCTAAGTACAGACAGACTTTGTTTAGTTTAAGTTTTCCTTAGTAGAATATATCTTTACTAAATAAAGGCATGTGTACAGCCAATTCTCATTTACTAATATTAACATTAAAATTTATCATATTGATAGCATACTAATGAAACACACCGTTAAATTACTTATGAACATCTTTCTTTGAAAGAAATGATTTTACAAGTCAAAGTTTCATTTCCAGGAGAAAAATACATACGTTTTTCAAGAGCTTTCAGGTTACATTTATTACTGACCATGAGACTGCTCAGATCAGAATAAACAGAAAAAACAAAAAAGGGGGGGGGGGGGAAGAAAGGAGAAGTGCAAGAAACCCTTAAACCTTTCTGTATTTTTCAGCAAGTCTCACTTCTCCAGCTTTCTTAACCCCGGTATTCTATCAGAAAGCAGAACTGGAGAAGACATACCATTCTGACATACCCAGTAATTGTACTTAACCTCCTAATTTAGGATAGGGAGAAAATTGTTTGGGATTATTCATTTTATATCAGTAATCTGTGAAGGAGGGTGACTACCATTTTAGCTGTTTAACCCAAACCTGCTCTGGAGAGCCATAGTTGCCTGGATTGTAATAGCATCTTTGGAGAGCGTCCTTCAAATATCAGGCAGTTCTAATTGCCTGGGGAGGTAACATCACCAGAAAAAGCTCTTTCCAAAGACAGTTATTCCAGAAATTATATAGCAGCTCGTTCCACATTCGTGTGCCTGCATTCACAGGATACAAGAACGGCCATCACGAGTGATAAGAGTCCTACTCTAGGCCATCTATATCTCCTCTGTGTGCCTCATGCACCTTGAGGTTAATAAATGAAGGAATTCGGTTGCTCCCTCTAATGAACCAACAGAAATCATTTTAAACAGAACATCACTTCAGGCTTTCTGTAGTGCTGTATCTTACAAACAGTAAATAATGGTTGAGCAGCCATGCTCCCCCCCCCCCCTTTTTTTTTTTCTTTTCTTCCTTTTAAACACTCTGTTTTGAGTTCAACCGATATACTCATAAGACCAGCCCTTTTCTGACTGCTTGTATACATATGCAATATAGAGCAAGTCAGTAGTATGAACGTACAATATATAGATCTTTGACTTTTCTACAAGCAGCCCTTTATGTATTACAAAGTCATACTATAGAATAAATGGGCTTTTAGAGATGGTGTAAATATTTTCACAGAAAGCTCACATGTTAAAAATTATTCTGAGCCTGGCATCTAAATTTGTAGAACTTCATATAAATCCACTTAAAATTTTAGACTGGTGTTTGGACCCACACCCACGAGTCTTTACTAATAAAAGCCAGCCAGCTGACACACAAGCAACAGCTTGAGTGGGCAATTGGCCAGATTTCTGAGAACAAGCTCAGACTCCTGTGAACAAGCTCTGAGAACATATTTCTTTAGCAGACAGGTCTCCTAAGATTAAACCAAAGGTTGCTCCTATTTCCAGTTTGAAATGGGCCCAAAGAAGGATTTTCCACCTCTATGGAGTTCTATGTTTGGAAGGATATACATGAGTGATACAGGATAGCACTAGATGATCTGTGCTTTCCTGTAAATTCTCCAGCTACTTCTGTAATAAGCCTAGTACAAGTTAACTGTCTTGTGTCCTACCTTGTTCTAAGAAGCTGTTCTGGGACATCAGTACTAGGATCAGAGAGACATAAAGGTGTCCAACCACTACCTCCTCAGGAATCCCTTCTGGGCTGAGTGGACTGCATCCCTGAGGGGCCCAAGGTCTGACTGCATACATAAGGAAACACTGCTCATCCCATTAATTGCAGTTCTGCATCACAGGTCAAAAGTAAAGATTATTGTTAATGGTTTTGCTGTTTTCTTGCTGCTACCATAGTTAAATATTTTAGAAAAAGTAGCTTTGGCAAATCTTTAAAATCTTAATAAGCTTTAAATCTTAGCAACACAACTTGGAGAAAGCTTCAGGAAAAGAGCTTAGCAGATGGCTGAAAGCGAAGCTACGTAGAGAGACATTTAAACTTACTATTAATACATTATATAGTCCACTGTAACTTTCTGTTCAGAAAAGCACTGGCTGAGAAGCATTGTACGAATACTTTGCATTATGTAAGAGCCTAAAAAATTTCTGTATAGCTACCTTTACACTCTCCTCCATGGCATAACACTAAAGTGTATTTTTTCTAATTAGTAGAGATGCATGGAGATTATTTGGACTGATGGGTGCTAACACCAGGAAAACTGACTGTCAGACATGGCCTTGAAGGATAAACAAGACATGCTTGACCTTGCACATTTAAAATATTAACTCAATGGGATCAATCTTGTTACATATGATAGTGTTTTGAAGAGTAGGTTTACTGAAATTTAGCACTGGCTAAATTAATGCAATTCCTCCTTCTAATTCATGCAGCGCAAGATGTAATTTAAAGCTAAACTAGCATGTCCAAAAGCTAATAACGCAACTGTAGCATAAACAGAACAGAAATAAAGAGCGGCGAGGAAAGCAACTGCATTGGCAAATAACTCTCAACACGTATTTGAAGTGAAAGAATGCAGTGAGTGAAAACTAGTGTCCTGCTGCCACAGGCAGACACCAAGGCATGAGCTTCATTTAACTGCATTGTTCTAATACAGCCTGAAAGAGGCAACAGCATAACATCACTGCATACTAGGTGCTGCTGAGCTGAGTATTCCTGAACATACCATTTTTGCTAAAACCATACTTTCTGAATTTCAGTAGAAAGCATGACACCTCTATTTGGCCAAGGGGGTGATTATAATCAGTCTAGAAGTTTTCATTAGATTTTACAGTTGGACTTTAAACCATGAAATGAGTGGAAAAGGAATTTTAGGGGAAGGCTGATGAAAAAGTCAGAGTTAAGAGTACCCATTTCTATGGCTGAGGGAGAGCTAACTGTTCAGGACTGCCCGCTCTCGACTCTCCAATTGAAAGTCCAATACAAAATACTATTTATATAAAAACTTTAATTGGGAAATTAATTTATGAAAAATGCCTTGGGATGTTAATAATTTAATTGCTTTGATATCTAAATCACAAATTTCATATGAGGCTTAATTTTATCACCATAGACACTTCCACTAACCACTTTCTTACTTTGTATTTTACGTTACGTTTAGAGGAATATCATGCACAGCGTTTTGTCATTAGCCTGCCATAGTTGCAGGGTGGTTACAGAGAAGCCATTTGGTCAATTTGTCTTGACAGCCCAAAATATACGGTGCTCCTATCCATAAACATCCCTTTAGGATAATTAATGACTTTCTAATGAATCTCAGATCTGTGTTAACATCTGTCAGATTGATTTTACATGAAGTGTAGAAGGGAAATATAAAAACAAAATACAGTGGGTATGAACTAAGCAGTTTCAAGGTATTAGGGGTCTGTATTTTAGAGCCTATTTCTAACATGTACAGATACTTGTAGCAATGCTGGAAGTTAAGTTAATGTTTCATAGTCTGTGTTACCAGAGATGGCAAAATATTTGTTTCTAAGAAACTTCAGTCATCTGAGAAAGATGATCCAGGTGATCTAGAAACAATTCTAAACCACAGAATTTTTCTCCCCCCAAATTAGGAAACTTGAACAAATTCAACCAGGACAAAATACAAGAACACTCTCCCTGCCACAGTTTAACTACCATCATAGTAAATATGACTTTGGAAGAAATACTGCAAAGGCTGTAAATCCAGTATTTGCCAATTTGTTCAATATTCACTGTTACAGTATGAGTAAAATAATCTAATCGAATTTTTAGTATCTTTAGACTTTTAAGAATAATCAAAGAAAAAAAGTAAAGAGTATTATTTGGAATTATATGACAGGCAGCAGACCTTTAATCAAAAAAGTCTTCTGGAGTTTGATCAAGATGGCTGTAGTTGTCATTTTACATATCCCAAACACATGCTGTTGACACTGTGTGGATAATACCTTCGTAGACAGAAATCACAAGCTCGTGCTCATGTTCACTGTGCCCAGAGTTCATTGTAACACACGCATTTATAGTGAGCTTTCCTAATTAACTTTTTATGTATATTTAATAAGAAAGCTGTTTAAAATAATTTGAGCTTACATGTTTTAAATGGCTTGAAGTACAGTACCAATCAAGGACCAAGTAAATGAAAAACTATTGCATTTTTTTTTATGAGAGTCTCTAAAATCCTAACAATGAGGAGATTTGAGGTTCCCTGCATGAACGGAATTTTATCAACTTTTCACCTTTTGGCCTGAGGAAATGCATTTCATGCTACTCAACTAAGTGCTTTTTCACTCCTTAGTGATTAGATATTAACGGTATGTACAGAGCTTTAGGCAACCAAGGTTATCGCCTTTTTCATCTGTGACTCGTGACTGTCTAATACAGAACATGATTGAGGAATGACTCTTGAGCGAGATGGAGGGATTTAGCTTCAGGAATAGTTTTAATGGAAGCCACGGAAGTCCTCTCTGTATTTCACATTGAAATGTGTCCTGCAGGGCGCACTATGATAAAAACCTGTTAGTCACCCATTATCCTAGTATTCACATTAGAACACATTGGGGGGTTTTTTTGCTTGCTTAAGTGTGCTCACTCTACCTCATCTGGTCATCTTGCCTGATCTATATAGGATCAATTCTATAGAAAATTGTCTTGTTTAGACTTGATAAATTCCAGTACTCTTAATACCCATGTTCAGTCTGCATTGTTTAAACAGGCAAATCCATTTTAAAATTATTTTAAAGTGGCAAAAGGAAATGCTCATGTCTTAAAGACAGTCCCTAATTTCCCTCTAAATATGAAAACAAAAAAAAAAGACAAACTACTTAAGGTACTTTCTTTTCTAAGACATTCTTTTTCATCCCCCACTTCTGAGGAAGCAAGTTAGCCATA